CTAGTTGGTCAACTTCTGTTATAATTTATTTGCATATGATGTTGCAAAGTGTAAACTGGCAGCCTATAAAGGCCTGTGTAAACCTATAAATGGGGTCCAGAGTTTGGAGTGTTAACTCTTCTGGCCCTGTTGGTGTTAATAAACCTTTCTCCAACTCTCCGGATGCCGCTTGGTCTCTCGCCTGAATCCAGCTTGCTGTCACAACTGAGCTGTAACACCGAGCTGTAACACATTTTTCTGCAACAAAATTAAACCCAAAGTATGTAAAAGAAAGAAAATTATAAATAGTAGATCAGGAATCAATCCAATTGAAAACACAAAAACAGCTGAGAAGAATCAATGAAACTGAAAGCTGATTCTTTGAAAAATCAATAAAATTGATAAATCTATAGCCATACTGACCAAGAAAAACCTAGAAGACAAAATTACCAATATTGAATGAACTAAAGGACCTCACAGACATTAAAAGGATAATAAGAAACTACTACAAACAACTTTAGGCCTATAAATTCTACAATTTGGATGAAATGGACAAATTTCTCAATTGAGAGGCACAAACCAAAACCCATTCAAAAATAGATAACTGAAAAACTCCTATATTTATTAAAGAAGTTGATTTTGTAGTAAAAAAAAATTCCTATAAGAAAATTCCAGACACAGGTGGTTTCACAGGAAAATTTTACTAAATATTTAAGGAAAAAATAATCAGTTCTACACAGTGTTTTCCAGAATATAGAAGAGAAGACTTCCCAATTCTTTTTATAAGGCCAGCCAGCATTAACTCAATATCAAAACTAAAGAAATTAAAAGAAAACTACAGATGAATACCCCTCATGAACGTTGATGCAGCAATCCCAAGCAAAATATTCAAAAATAAAAATCCAGAAATATTTAAAGAAGTTAATACATCATATCTAAGTAGAATTCATCCCAGGAATACAGAATTTGTTCAATGCTCAAAAACCAATGAATGAAGCCTACCATATTAACAGACTAACAGAAATATTGTACTTAAATATAAACTTAACAAGATATGTGCACAATCTGTAGGCTAAAATCTACAAAACGTTGATGAGTAAAATCAAAGTTCTAAATAAATAAAGAGATATATCCATGTTGATGAATTGAAAGACTCAATATTGTTAAAATGTCAAATGTGCCATTTGTGTAGATTCAACATAACCCCAGTGAAAACCCAGCAAGTTGGTTCCAAAATTTATATCAAAAAGCAAAGGAGCTAGAATAGCCTAAACAATTTTAAAAGAGAATAACAAAGTTAGAGAATTCACACTACCCAATTTCAACACTAAGTATAAAGTTATAGTAATCAAGATGGTGTAGTATTTGCGAAAGGATGGACATATATACCAATGGAACAGAATAGCGAGCCTAGGAATAGAAACAAATACAGTCAAATTATATTTGACAAAAGTGCAAAAGCAATTTAACAAATAAAGAATAGGCTTTATAAAAATGGTGCTGGAACAACTGGATGTCTATATGCCAAAAAATTAAAAAAAAAACTCAACCTAAATTTCACACCTTAAAATTTAACTCAAAATTGTTCATAGACTGAAGTGGAAAATATAATACTAAAACTTGTAGAGGCTTCTTGTTTTCCATAAGGCAAAATTTGCATAATCTTTGGCAATGAGTGTTTAGATATGACATTAAACAGTATAACCTATAAAGGAAAAATTGGTGAATTGGACTTTATTGAAATTAAGAACCTTTTCTCTGCAAAAGACACTGTTCAGAGAATCCAGCCACCAACTAGGAGAAACTATTTTGATATCACATAACTGATAAGGAACTTGTATCTAGAATATATAAACAACTCTTAAAATTCAATAGCAGGAAAACAAACATTCTAGTTAAAAATAGGCAACTGATCTGAACAAAGAAGATACATAGATGGAAAATGAGTATATGAAAGATGCTCAGCATCATTAGTCATAGGGAAATGCAAATAAGTTAAATTACAGCCACAATGAGATAACACTGCATACCTATTAGAATGGCTAAAACTAAGAAACAACAATAAACCAGGTATTAGTAAATGCTGACAATGATGCAGAACAACAGGGACTCTCATTCATTGCTGGTGGGAATGCAAAATGGTATAGTCACTTTGGTAAACAGTTTATCTGTTTCTTATTACGCTAACAGTGCACTAACAATACACCCAACAAAACCAGTCCTAGTCCAATATAATTAGTAAATTATATTGATGTCATTTACCCGTCAATATGATGTGGCAAGAGGGGCGTATTACCTCAATCAAGCCAAAATTCATAACCTCAGTCCATTAATGATAAAAATGTCAGACATTCCAAATTGAGGAATATCCTACAAAATACCCGACTATTGCTCTTTTTAAAAAATTAGTAAACTTTATTTTTTAGTGCAGTTTCAGATTCACTGCAGAATTGAAAGGGAATTCTCATATATTCCCTGTCCATCGTCCCAACTCTCCCCTGCACCCAACTTCCCCTCCCATGACATCCTGCACTCCAGCGGTACATTTGTTGTAATCCATGAACCTATATAACACAACAGTATCACTCAAAATCCATAGTTTATATTAGGGCTCACTCTTGGTGTTGTACATTCTCTGAATTTGGATAAATGTATAACAACATGTATCTTCTATTATAGTATTGTACAGAATAGTTTCATTGCCCTAAAAATCCTCTTGTGCTCTGCCAATTCATTCCTCCCCTGTCCTAATCCCTGACAACCACTGATCTTTACTATCTCCATTGTTTTGCCTTTTCCAGAATGTCATACAGTTGGAATCATACAGTATGTAGCCTTTATAGATTGACTTCTTTTACTTGATAGTATGCATTTAAATTTACCATTTCTTCAAAATTAACAAGGTAATGAAAGACAAGGAAAGACCAGGTCACTGTCAGTCAACCAAGGAGACATGATAATTAAATGAAAGGTGGTATCCTAAATTAGATGCTAGAATGGAAGAAGGATATTAGTGGAAAACCTGGAGAAATTTGAATAAACCTTGCAGTTTAAGTATTTATCAATGTTAGTTTCTTAGTTTTGACAAATGTACCATGGTTATGTAAGATGTTAAAATTAGAGGAATCTGGATGAAAGATAAATGGAAACTCTATTTCTAAAAAATTTTTAAATTAAAAAAAATTTTATTGAAGTGTAGCTGATTTGCAATGTTAGTTTCAGGTGTACAGCAAAGTGATCCAGTTATACATATACATACATACATATTTTTTTCTTTTCAGATTCTTTTCCATTAATTGTTATTACCAAAAATTGAATACAGTTCCCTGTGCTATACAGTAGGTCCTTGTTCTTTATCTATTTTATATATAGTAGTATGTATCTGTTAATCACAAACTCCTAATTTATCCCTCCCCTACTCTTTCTCCTTTGGTAACCATAGTTTGTTTTCTATGTCTGTGAGTCTGTTTTTGGTTTGTAAATAGAATTTGTATCATTTTAACTCTGTACTATTTTTGCAGCTCTCTGTAAGTATAAAATTGTCTCAAAGTGAAATATTTCAAATGGCAATGGTTATAGAAATATCTAATTTAAATCTAATTTATTTTAAGTAAGCAAAATTATAACTTTTTTAAAAGACATCTCAATGTAGTTTAAGTTGTTATGTTGTGTTGGATTTTTCTTGTTTTTATGTTATGTCCCCCTTAGGATGTAGTTAAAGTATTGTTTTAAGGTCACTTACAGTAAATTTTCTTCATGGTCATGTCATTAATTTAATAGACATCCAGGGTCAAGTGTTTATTTTAAATAGGGGGGGATTGTGGTTATTTTCTCTTTGAATTATTTTAATTATGTAAAACTGTACATACTTTTAAAGTCAGATTGTACTTTTAAGTTCATCTTGCTTCCATTTTGTCCCTTCTACTTTGTTCCCTCCCTCTCCTTATATAAGGGTAACCATCTTTATTAATTCAGAGGTTTAATCCTTCTAGGTTTTTCTGGAATTTTAGGCAAACTATCTCTTTTCTTACAAAAAGGTTGTTCTGTAGCTTGCTTTTCTCACTTACTATAACCTAGATGACACCATATCAGTATATAGAGATCTTCATCACTTCCTTTTTATAGCTGCATTGTACTTTTTTATGGTTTCTTCAACCAGTCCCCTGTTGATGAAATGAGTAGCCTAATGAATTATTATGAGTGTATCTTTGAGACAGATTCCTAGATATGAGATTGTGGGCCAAAGTGTAAACGCCAGTACACTTTTGGTGAGTACTGCAGTAGTGCTCTACCAGTTTGCACCCTCCCAAGCAGCTTATGAGAGTTCTGATTTTCTGCATGCATGTTGCCAAATATTGGATTTTTCCTAATCTGATTATGTGAAAAAAATGGCATTTTGGTGTAGTTTTAATTTGTGTTCTTTTTATACAGTCGGCTGGAATACTTCTTCATTATTTAAAGACTGTTGCATTTTTTTGGTAATCTGTCTTTTCACATATTTTGCCCATTTTTACATTGGAATGTTAGATTTTTGTTCTAAAATTTTAGGAGCTCTTTATCTATTTTGGACATTTGCCCTTTCTCTGTGATGTAAGTCTTTTCTTTTTTGACTTTGCTTATAAAGACTTTTTGCCATGAAGATTTCTTTTTTAGAAAAAGCTTCTCGAATTATGAAGAAGTGAAATTCTTATATGACAACTCAAGATATCGTATAAAAATTAACATTATTTCATTGCACCAAGGGAAAGCTCTGGACTAAAATATGACAACCAGTTATAGCCATCTGCTCCACTGAATTTTCTTTTATCATTCTATAGTCATTAATTTATTTATTCAAGAATATTTATGGAGTTCCTGATCTGTGCTGGGCACAATCCTGAGAGCAGAATTAGCTGCATCTAAAGGTCAAGGGATCCTACCCCAGACTGGGTCTTGAAAGATGTGATTTTGGTAATGGCTGCCTTGACATCCTTGTTTCTTAGAGTGTAAATGAGAGGATTGAGGATTGGTGTGAGAATAGCATATACTACGTTGCCTATGACGTGGAAGTCAAGGGGCAGGTCCACCCTATAGGCCACGTAGGCTATGGCAATGGAGGAGTAGTAGGTGCCAACCACCAGCAGGTGGGAGCTGCACGTGGAGAAGGCTTTTGAGCGTCCTTCTTGGGAGCTGATGCGAAGCACCGAGGCCAGGATGTGGGCATAGGAGAGAAGCACCAGGAGAAGGGGCAGGAAGGACACCACCATGGCGATGCAAAAGCCCATGAGGGTCTGGGGTGTGGTGTCAGAGCAGGAGGCCTGAACTAGAGACAGATGATCACAGAAGCAATGGTAGATGCGAGCAATGTTGTCATATGCCATCTGGGAGGTCTTCACTACTGCTGGGATGGGCAGGAGGAGGGCAGTTAACCAGGCAGTGGCTGCTAGTGCAGCATTGGTCTGTGGGGTCATGTGGACAGGGTAGTGCAGCGGGCGGCAGATAGCCACATAGCGGTCATAGGCCATGACCACGAGGATGAAGGCTTCTGAGCATGTAAAGCTTTGAAAGAGGTACATCTGCAATAAGCAGGAAGTAAAGCTGAGAAAGTGATCCCCAAGCAAGAACAGGGACAGCATCTTGGGGACAGTGGTTGTGGTGAAGAGGATGTCCAGGGCAGAGAGGTTGATCAGGAAGAAGTACATGGGTTTGTGGAGGCTGGGCTCTGCCACCACAGAAACCAGGATCAGGGCGTTACCCATAAGAATGAGAAGATAGAAGAGGAGAAAGATAAAAAACACAGGGAGGAAGAAGGACTCTGGCAGAGAGGGGATGCCCACCAGATAGAAGACTGGTGAGCCACCTACTGATCCATTACACGTTGTGGCCTCCATAGTGAGACAGAGCTAGACTTCTGGCAGATGGGCAGCTGGAACATCTGGACACTGGAGTATCTGGAAACCACAGAAGCAAGGATTCTGGAATGAGGATTCTATAATATTTATTCTCTAATCAAAATATAAGCATAATTATTTACAACCAACTCTTGAGGACTTATGGTGGGCTGTAATATTGACTTCAACCATGTGAACCCAAAACTTCTACCTTTTTTCTTTTGTTGAACATTAATTATTAATGAACTGATAACCTACCAAATAGAAGTCAACATGCTGTGTTCAGGTGATACAGTGATGAAAATAAAGAAGGCAGGAAAAGTCCCTACCTTCTTAGAGTTTACATTTTACCAGGAAAATCAGATCTAAACAGTTGATTGTTGAATTATGATTGTGAGTTCTTTGGAAAGATTTCTGCTGGTCTTCATCTTAGATTTCATGTGTCTAGTTTGGGATGTCAGATCTCTTAAATCAAGTCCTGAAGCTCATGCCTCTACTTTGCACTCAAAGTTCCAACCATGTTGCTTTGGAAGTGTTGCTTTCTCCAAGGTTGTTTGCAGCAGGCTATTGCTCACATAGTTATTAAGCTTATTTTCCTCTTGTGTGCCTTAAGTAGTGTTTTTTCCTGACTCTTTTTAAGCTAGTTGTCTGGACTTCTGCTCCTATGTAGGACATAATAGGTCATGGTAGCCCAACACTTTCACTGCAACAATTAGACACAAACCTGGATAAATTACACAAGTCACATTTTTTAAAATAAATTGGAGAAACATGAGTATAATAAGGATGAGATGAACTGGAACTCCAGGGAGGAGGGATCCTCCAAAGTGAACTGACAATCACCAGCTCTTTTCTTCTCTGGGAATATGATTACTCCCTCCCTGATTTTACTTGTAATAAAACATTTTTCATGCCACTGAATCATAAAAGTGCCAAACCTAGAAATGTCCAGCCAATTTTTTTTTCTTTTCTTAGACAAAAGGGGCAAGGGCTTGCCCAAGGTCACACAGCCAGTGAGCCACAGAGTTAGGACCAGAACCCAGTCCTCTGACACTCAAACCAGGACTCTTTATTCTTTATTATTTTCCCTGGAGAATCTGGAAGCTTAAGTTATCATGTGGGGCGAGATTGGGGCAAAGATTTTCTCTTTCCTTCTCCAATTCTAAGATGACATTGTCAGCAACAGCCATAAATTTCAATTTGTTCTTTAGTCTCTAGTGTGGAGGAGGCCTGATTCCCTGTCAGGGAGTGAAGGCTGGTAAAATGTCTTTCTAAAAGAAACACGGAACAGGCCACTCCATTGTGACTGCTTCATTGAAAGAAATAAAGAAAAAAGTATTCTAGAGGTCAGCCCCCATTATCCAGGCAGAAAAGCAAAACTCGTGCATCTCAGTTTAAAAGAGTGAACGCTCAGCTAACCAAACTCAATCTGCCTGAGGCAATCACCAGGTTTCTCACATACCCAAGATGATGCAAACTACATTTTCCTGCACGTTGTTAGAACTCAGAGAAGTCAATTTTGGATTGAATGTCACTGAGTTAAGCTGAATTGGGGTTTGAGGAGCAGAAACTCAGAGCTATCAAGTCCAATTATACCCCCTCTTCTCTCTCCTCTGGTTCATTTCTATTAAGTGGAGGAGACAAAGGCTGAGTCTAAAGTCCAGAAACAGAGTGTCTTCTCAAGGCCAACCAACAAGTTCACAGCAGAGATGGGTCTTAAACTCAATGTCCTGGCTCCCATCTAGTGTTTGTAAGGTTTTTTTCATGAGAGAAGATGATTCCTTAGCCTGCCATTCAAAGCTTATCTTCTTGGAGCCTTATTTCTCCTGTCTCTAGTCAAATGGCAACTCCTTGCTCTTGCCTTGTTCCCTTTCCAAACTAAGCTTCAATGTTCCCTCCTCCAAGAGGTCTTTGCTGTCTCAGCTGGCTTGGCAGCTTCTTTTCTGAACTCTTACAGTTCCTGTGCTTTCCTTTGTCATCACTATGATCACACGGGGTTGTCTCTGTCTATTTATGTGTCTATGGCTCCATCAGACCAGGAGGATTTGCAGGGCTGTAATGGGGCCTAATTGTTTCTATTTAATAATGTACCACCACCCTTCTCAGGAGCTCAGTGCTGCAGCAACGGGAGCCAGGATGCAACTTTCCCAGCTGGCTTCATTTTGGTGCTAAATTATAAAATTGGAATGAAGGGGTCATTAGCAAATCCCTTTTCTTATACAGATGGAGAACACAAATGGGGGGCTCAGAAGCAGGCTGTGATTTGCCCAAGGTCACACAGTAAGTGGGTGACAGAATCAGAACTAGACTATCAGTGGGGCTGGATTATCACCTTGAGCCCAAGATAACCCAGCAATGAGCCCAGGCTGCCTCATCTACTTGGGGCCACAGGACAGACCCACCAGTTGAGGTTTATTTGCTCACCCCAAAGGCACTGAAGCACTTTCCTTCCCTAAGCTTCTGTTTGGCAGATTGGGCCTGTGCAGCAGACAAAGCATGTGGTTAGGACGCCAGCTAGACAGGAGCACTGAAAATGTTTTTGAAAGACTTTAGTGTTTGAGTTTTTTAAAAAGCATCATTTGATGTAGCATCATGGTGAAAATCAGAAAATTTCTGTATTTCTTTACATTTATTTTGTGGTTCAGATGAAATGATTTCATTTTGGATACATATTACGAGGGCAAGGTGGTTTCACTGCTTAAGGACAGTAAACACATTGTTAGAGGACCATTTCCTTGGTCAGGATTATCTACGAGCCAGTTACAGTGCTGGTGGGGGACAAAAAACCAAATTAAATTTCCTGAATGTCCAACCTGACACCTCACATTTCTCCTCCCATCATCCAGTCCTGCTGGGGAGTGGTTATGCCCTTTCAACAAATGAGAAACTGAGGGGTGAAGGACAGACCCTTGTTCAAGGCTGCTGAGGGCTGAGAGCAGAGGTTGTTCTGGAGCCAGCCTGCTGCGTAGGACTGAGCCCTGCCTGGCAACCAAGAGTCCTGATTCCTGGGCCAGCTCTGCCACTCCCTTGCTGTGACTTTGGGCTTCTGAGCCTGTTTTCCCATCTGCAAAATGAGGGCTTTGGAAGAGATGATCTCCTCCAACTTAATAAACATTTTTGAGTGTCCCCTCTGTGTTTGGCCCAGTGAGAGGTCAGAGATGAATGTCTCATGGTTCAAGCCTCTAAGCAGGGAGAACAAAGTTCTCCCCTTCGATAAGCTCCTGTTGCACGTTTGAATCCTTATAGCTGTTGTGTCATTACACTTCACTACAACTCCCAAATCCATGCTGTTCCCTGGTATTTCTGCTACCCTGTGCTATTCCCATAGAAGAGGAGCAGGATATGTGTGAATTACAGAGTTTGGGTTCATTAACTGGAGTTAGAATGTCTCAGGACCCTGACATTCACACATAAAGTGTGCGCTCCAGGGCTCCTCAGCATGGCTCTGCACACCCCTGGCCTCCCTGAGTCTGTCTGCCCACCCCAGCCTTTCTTGCTTCTAGACAATCCCTCCCAGCCCAGCTCACCTGCCAAGTCTCATGCACCTTGCTGTCTTCTGTGGAGTCACCACACTTGGCCCTGAGGGGAGGTTGGGGCTGAGTCACAGCCCTTAAACCCCAGAGCCATGGCCTGCTGGGGCACTCTCCTTCAAGTTGGCTCCCACATGGGACCCCATACCTGCCACCTGGGAACAACTTCCTATGATGGAGCCAGGGACGTGGCCTGGGCTTTGCAGATAATGAAAACAGCATCATTAACTACCCTCATGGGCCTCAGAACTTTATTGTTAATGGAGCAGTTTGATTCCTGTTTTCCTATCTGGTCTCACAACAGCCAGTAGGATTGTTCCTACTATTTGACATTTGAGGAAACTGAGATCTGGAGAAGGAAAGTGACTCAAGTGGCTGGGGCAGAGCTGGGATTTGGACCCAAGACTCCAAATCCAGTTTAGCAGTTTAGCAGCCCATCATCTAATGGCTGAGACCTGAGTTCTTTCCAGTTTTGTCATTTTGGACAAATCCCTTAACTGCACGAGCCTTCCTTTCCTTATCTATATAATGGGCTATGGGGAAGATTTCATGCTTAGCCTAGTGCTAATTAAGTGAGAGCTATTATGGTAATAAACCCAAATAGGCAAACCCTGTTGCATGACTGAGGTATAACTACTGCTGTTGTGCAAAGAGGAACTTGCAAAGGTTCTGAGAAAGGAATGTGAGGTGGAGGTCTGTCCCCCAACCCCACGCAGTGGCAAAGCCGAGTCACAGCCTTTCCTGCCTCAGGCTTTCTGATTCTCTTCTTTGGCTCCATAGCTCTCTATTTCTGACTCTGTCATTCTCTCATTAGTATGTATAACATTTAAACAACTTAAAAAATTTCACAAGTAACAAATAGATCCCATTGTATTTTCCTCACTACAGAGCTTTATTAGGTAAAAAGTAGAAGTTTTCTTCACACCAGTCCTTCCCATATTTCCCCTTCTCCCCTTAGAGGTAATCACTGTTGCCGATTTGGTCAGTTCCTTTCAGACCTTTCCTAAACATGTGGGGTGTGGAGGGAGGGGATTGGTTAGTTTTCTTTTAGCATAAATTGGATTATTTGGTACTTATTGTGTCACTTATATTCTTTGTGTGTGTGTCACTTATATTCTAACGTAATAAGTCTTAGCATTTTTCTGTCTGATCTACTTCATTCTTTTATCTGATATTTGGTATATGATAGTATGAATATGACATAGTTTGTCTAATAATTTCCCTGCTGATGGACATTTGAGCTGTACCCAGTTATTGACATTATGAGCAATATTATCATTAGCATCCTTTCAACATGCATTTGGGGACACATATACCCAAATATTTCTCTGAAAGAGATCATTAGAAGTAGGAATTCTGGGCCAAGCAGTAAGCAGATTTTAAAATCTACATGTGTGTGTGTATGGGGACAGTCCCAGCTTCAAATCCCGAGGCTCTGAGAACAGTGAGCCACAGGAATGATTGAGATGACCTTGTTACACCAGTGCCGGATGCTGCTGCTGCCC